ATCTTAGAGTCGGGGAAAGCCTGTGAGGGCGGAGACGGCCGCTGCGGTGGGAGGCTGCGCTCCTAATACCTGTGTAGCGCTAGCTCCTAAACGAGCAGCCTCACTTCAAGACCGCGTCGGGAGCAGGGAGATACGAGAAAATTGGAAGTGTGATTTCACACTGTAGCATGAGGACTCCTCTCAGGAGCAGCACAACTGGTGACAGCCGCACCAGTGTGGCAGAATGGCACAGTGGTACATCTTGGTGCGTTGAATGTGCTCTTTTTGGATTTGTAAAATGGAAGAAGGAAAATCTTTCGAACATCACCTGCTGTTTTTCCTTGTCCAAATTCCGACCTGATTTCATTTTAGACCCGTAACAAGAGACGAGTCACAGGATGCCTGCACCCAGGCAGGAGCATAGCCAGCAGCGACCTTTCCACTGTGCTTAGTACTTGCAAGATGGTACCTGGAATACTGCAGTCCCCCCTCAAATACAGAGATACTGACTGGATGGAGGAGTCCAGCAGAAGGCCACAAAAACTGTCAGGGATGAGAGCATGAGGGATGAAGTGAGACTGAGAGGCAGGCCTTTTCAGCCTTAAAAACAGAAGGCTTTGTGAGGACCTTACTGCCGTCCACAGCTACGTCACCTGAAGTTACAGAGATGGTGGAGGCAAACTCTTGTCACAGTTACATAGCAGTTTTGAACAGGCACAGGTTAGAACACGTGAAATTAAGGGGGTTATATCTTTGTTTTTAAATTGCGGTGGTTGTCAAATGCTAGAACAGGCTGCCCTAAGAGGTTGTGAAACCTCTGTCTTTGGAGTTGTTCATGGCTCAGCTGGATGCTTAGCTGAACGACCTCATCTAAGTAGTCATGCTTTGAGGAAGGAGTTGGACTAGGCGAACTCTGGAGATCTTTTGCAACCTTAATTATTATGCGCGTCTATGAAAAATTTAACTGTTCCATTTTTTGTGACAAATATTTCATTAGAGGATCAATTGCATTGCATTAGGTAAACACAAGGACTTTATTAATTTCAGTGTGAATTATAGCATTACATCTGTTTCAGCTGGACAATGTGCAGTTACACCAGGCAGCCAATCTTAATGCCCTGCTCTGAACAGCCTGCCTCACTCAGTTGAAGCATAGCTTGTGAGAAGAGTAACCTGATGGACTGTTATTCTTTACTCTGTCTCACTCTATCAGTCAGAACTCATGAATAAAGAGCAAGGAAGAGTAATCTTAAAGAGTATTTCAGTGCAGTAACACCAGGCAGCCAAAGCCCACGAATCTCAAAGCATTAACGTATACTGACTTATTAATCTGTCACAGCTGACAATTCCTATGTATCATTAATGGTATTTCAAGAAGATTGCCTGTAAAAACTAATCTTCCCTTTCAGCTTTTTAGCTGTAAACTTTCACAAGCATGCCTGCCATGTACTGTATGTTTTATACAAGACACTGATACAATCAGGATTTTATATAATTGTCACCAGCATAGGTAACTTTCAGTGTTTTCAGCCTTCAGTTTTAAATTATTAAAAATTATTAGAAATTAATTTCCCGTACCAGCGAGCAATTTTCCTTCCCTTCTCTCCACCTCCAGTTTCAAGTTTAAAAGCTTTCAATTTAATTCTGAACATGAGTAGCTCCTTTTTTTTTTTAAACAGCAAAAAGCATAATTGGAAGATAACTGTGGAAATGCCACTAATGTAATCAAACTCAGCCCATTTTAAATGGGTTGCAACTTTCATCTGGGCCCAGATCTATTTTACTAATAAACCCCAAACAAAGTATCATGTAACTCAAAATATAAACCATAACTCTAAGTGCCCATTACAGCCATTGTGTTTTCGAAGCCCAAAGGAACTACAGGAAGCAAAACTATGAATCAGAGTGAGCTCCCTTCTTGACTACTGTGGGAAGATAACAAAGCAAGCCTTTAAAGCTCTTTAAAGGCAAGAGGCACTAAGATATGCATGAATAAACTGAGAAGTAGCTGATCCAAAAAATAGAGGTGGGTTGTTTTCTCCTGTGCGTCCAGTAAGTCAGAGGCTGTTGCTGTGCCACAGCAATTACGGTCCATTAAAACTACAGCAAAGTTTGGGCACACGAAGTAGTGTAAATGCTAAAGCAGAGATACATACTGCTGCCTTCATACTTCTGAAAAACGTAAGAAATGGCCACTCCCTCGAGGGGTGGGGAATTACTAAGGCAAACTCTATCTGCATTCACAAAGTTAAATATGAACCTAAGTGGGCTTGAAGTGACTGTATACCATCAGCTGCATTTACAGCTCATTCAACCTTCACAGATGTCATTTTCCTGACAACAGCTTCTAGCAATCCACCGTTTTGTTACTTCCTGAGCCAGGAGCTGCATCTGAACCTTTGCACATAACAGCTATGCAGTCTGTGAAACCACCAATTCCCTTATTTCAATCTATTCCTTCTCCGACCCTCCACATCATCCTGCTACCTGTGTTTCAAAACACAGGAAGTGTGTTAGCCTTTCCAAGTCAAAAATGGTATTGCTTCACATCCCCTTTAGTTGGTATCTCTGAGCTTAGAAACCACTTCTTACGCCATTTGTCATAGATGTAAGTTAACTTGTACTTCTGTGCCGTTTTGTCCTTTAGGCAAGAACAGCTTCTCAAACATCAGCTCTACCTTCCCTGCCACCTGAGTTATCCATTAAAGACTTAGGAAATGTGTGCCAGTACAACAGATTGTCTAAGAAATCCAGGTGTTTTATGGCAACATTTTCCAGTCTGCAAAACCAGACATGGTTATTTCACACATGAATTCTCTTCAGTATACCTCACACAGTTGAAAAGAACATGGCACAAGTGATGTATGTTAGTCAGATGTTTATTCAGCACGACTAACAGTTTGGCAAATTAGCGCTTTCCACCAACACGCGGAGCAGAAACCTTGACTGGTTTCACAATCTTCTGCTTAGGTGCCGCCTTTGTAGGAGCCTGTAGTGAAAAAAAAGAAAAAGGAGCAATTTACCAGCAGTCCTGTAAGTGTCCCTGTGTATTTAAGATTCTTGACAGGAATTTGGCAATTTAAATCAGATCAGATTAGAATTACAAACTATCAGATTATAATCCTGTTAACAGATGGTTACACACGTACCACTGTAAGACTACAACAGGTACAATGCCAACCTATGGTATTAATTAATAAGTAAATTAATTAAATATATGCTAGCTTTTATCAATATATTGTTACCAAGTTACTATACATTGAAGACGTCACTTCCAGACAAGTTTTTAGCTATCAAAAATCTCTGACGTATGGTCAGAGAGGGTTTTTTTGCTGTAATATTTACTTGTTCTGTAAAAAAGGTTCGTTCTATTAAGCTGTTTGGCTATGTTTATCTGTAGTACAAAAGTTTAGTCAAAATGCTTCCAGGTCAAAACAGATGAACAAATGTTTCTTCCAAACACAAATGGGCATTTCCAATTAAGTGGTGCACCAGAATGTTGTGTAACAACACAGCCTGTTCCGTTTCCTTATTTCTGTCCACCTATTGGATCTTACCTTTGCAGCAGAAACAGCCGTTTTCTTGGTTGCCTGCTTCGCCTTCTTGGCTTCTTTCGCAGCCCTATTAATGCACAGAAAAAGATGACAACTGTCCATCTATGCCACTCACTGTTTCTTTGTCTCAGCAGTGTAAGAACTCCCCAGGATCAAAAAAGGAATGTTTTGTATCAGGTTTATTCTCTGCATTCAGTACCCTCTAGGGAGACTACTTCAGAGAGAGCAGAACTGTGACAAAAGTGGCATTTTCACAAAGGTAGAGGGCAAGAAGAGACCCTTCTCTGCTGCTACTATCTCTTGCTGAGACTACTCAGTATCACCTCCACATATATTGATTAAAACCCAAACAAATCAAACAAACAAAAAAGCCATAAGAAAGGTTCAAAAACATGGAGCTCATCTAGGGTATATCTCTTGTATGAAAAGCATTAATAATCTTTCAAAAGCCTGGGATAGCTCCAGTTATCTGCAATTTCTCACCTAATAGCTTGTTCCCTCTGCGCCTTTCGTACTTCAGGCTTCTGATTTCGCTTAGCCATAATCTCAGCTAAAGACGCACCAGTGATGGCTCTCTGAAACTTTACAGCACGACGCGTGCGCTTCTTTTGTATCTCTTCCTAAAATGGCGGAAGATGAAGACAATTAGTATCACAAGACATTAAATAAAAGACTAAAGACAATTACAGAAACAAGCTACTATTAAGATTGAAGCTATTATAAAACTGTATGCAGAGGGAGAATTATTAATTTATCTTTTCATGCAATGACAACTACATAGGCAAGACCCCCTACTAAGTTACAGCCCAAAGTTTTCAAGAAAGGTATGTGAAAAGTTCCTCCACCCTTTAACCTCCTAATCAGGTCTCTATGCTATTACCCTATTACCATTCAGGAAGTCCCAACTTTCAGAAAGTCTACACACTGAATAGCATTACCCGCCTTCTCTAAAATGATATTTTTTCAAACATACACCATTCATACAGTTGCTAAGATCTACTAAGCCTACTGTGGTTCCAAGTGGCCCCTTGAAGAAGTGACACAATACATATACAATGTTTTCGCCAAACTGGTTCCCTTTCAAACATAAAGCACATTATAAATTCACATAAATGCACTCACATTTTCACCACTATTGGCCAGTCTTCATCCTGGTTATAAGGATCATGCTTCTGCTAAAGACCAGCATAACACTTGACCTCTATTCTAACAGATCAGTAACCAAAGCTTATGGTAGGAAACTTTAGAGCACCATTAAGCCTGTGTATACTTACTGACTGTCCTTTCTTGTGTTTCCGCCTGTACAGAACAGTCCAGTTGATTTGGCGAGGGTTTCTCTTGGAAAGGAATGCAGACTCACATTTTGCATTCAAGAACTGAAAAACCTGGGAAGGCAAAGTACTGTATGAGGTTTGTTTCTGTGAAAGACATCATCACAGTTTATGATAACAGATGAAGTAATTCATCAATTCGGCGCTTTTTAACAGCGATGCTTTTGTGTTTCTTTATACAACTAAATATTTTAATGATAATTGGGGAAAAAAAAGGTTTGGAATTTTGTTCTGTTCCTCAAACTGATCTCTTACAAGGCATTCTGAAGCAGCTTAATTTTTCTGAGGAAAGCTAAAATTACATCTGCTTCTGCACTGTCTTCTAGGCAAAGCATGAATAGCCAAATCTCACATAGAATGATAAAATGGTTAGGGCTGGAAGAGATCTTAAGATCATCTAGTTCCAACCTCCCTGCCATGGGCAAGGATGCCTCACACTAGACCACGCTGCTCAAGACTCTGTCCAACCTGGCCTTCAACACTGCCAGGGATTTACCACTTCTTTGGGCAACCTGTTCCAGTGCCTCACATCATGCTTTTCAAATGTTTGTCCTCAAATAACTACGTATTTCCTGTACATGTGAGTCAAAACTTGGCCTAAGGAACACACAGTGACTATACTCCACCCAATTCCTTCTTGCCAAGAATAGCAGGCTGACTTGTTATTAACTATACAATTCAAAATACCTAATTCCCAGAAAAGCACCTGAAAATTCAGTCTTACTTACTTAGCTGTCATTTCCCAGGAGATTCTATACAGCGAGACAACTGCACTAAGATATCCAAACCCCATACCCTCTCTTTGTAGGTATGAATAGTGTACTTGTGTTTCTGACAGCCCTCATCTGTGCAAGATACAAGAGCCTGAAAGGGCTCTCCTCCCTACTTAATCCCAATGATCTATACCCAACTTATGTGCAAGTACAGTTGTTTGCTTCAGCAAATCTCAGCGCTAAATGCATTATGTCCAAATAATACCTCGTGCAGAACTTTGGTACCTTAGACCAGATATTTCAAGACACCCTTCCCAAACCACAGCCTAAAACCCGACTCAAAAAACCCATGCTTCAGCACAAGCACGGTTCTCCCGCGGACCAGGTCTGACGGCAGTCGTGACACCTAGACACTGACAGATGCTACAGCAACGCCACAGGACACCCCGGGCAACACTAAGTTCCTGACTGCGCTCTAAGTGCGAAGCCTTCGCCTCTCCTAGCACCGCACCAGCCCCTCTATCAGGCCTAGCGCACTCCCTCTTCCCATGGGCCGCTCCTGCTCGGCCCTGCCGCCCGGCACCACAACTGCCTCCTCCCGGCGGCGCTCTCCCGGCCTCACCTTGCCGTCGGTGCGGGCATAGCGGCGCCCATGGCCGGGGTAGATCTTGTACCCGCTGAAACTGCATAGCTCCACCCTGCGCGGGAAAGAAGAGTTAGGGGAGATCGCGGGTTAGCTGGGGTGGAAGACGCGGCCATCCGGCGGCCTCCCCGCGGCTGATGGCTGCGGGTGGGCCC